GCTTTCCCCTTTTACTGGTACTGCGTAGTCTGAGTCTTTTAGTGGTACGCAGTACCGGACCGTACCGGCCTTCTTTCACCCCTGTTCATCCTCCAGTAGAATTGAAGCTGACTGACACCTGACTGAGACATTTTGGGTTCTATCTTACACTCGATGTAAAGCACAACACAACTATCTTTAAAATATACGTTTTGTCCATCTGAGCGCACATGGGCGTGTAGGTCTTAGAATGAGGTGTGGTCAGGACCAGTAAGTAATATGTAGTGATATGCACCTACACGCGGATGTACAACAGGTGTACACTCCTGTGTTGGCATGAAGAGTGGCTGTACAGTCACTTTCTCTCCATGCCCTTATAGATGCAAACTCCACCTTTGAAAATGAAACGATATCAACAGGCTCCGTCTCATTATCATTAAGAATGAAAATAAAAATGAGAAGTAATAATAGATTATGACTGAATTTGAAACACATGACGGACAGTGAGAAAGTCTAACACTGTACTGTCGACACAGATTCTACACACCTGATTCATAAAGCTGAAGCCTCTGTACTCTGTACGTCACATTTACGCAATCCATGCTTTTCTGTTTTCATGTTTCATGTTTTTTTTTCCAATTGAAAGATAACAGTGTGTTAACAGTCACACTGGTCTATCTCAGTGTCATTTTGTATTTTGATAAAACACATTGTAGACATGGACCACATTGTGGGGTTCTGCTCTTAACTTTTGATGCAGCTGTTTTTAGTCTCTAAAGCTTTAAATCAGTCATCACAGTTTTTTAGTAACAGTCATTCAGTGTATTTATATTTGGTAATCACCTCTATAAAGCAGTTTTTATAATTTATTGCATCACCTTTGAACTTTTTATGACAAATGAATGAATTTTAGTAAATCTGTCACAGCATGGAGCTGCTGCCTGTTCATTTTTAAAAAATGTATTATTGTACTTATTGTGCATATTCACTTATCTCCTTTTTTCAAGCAAAAACTCAGAAGAATGACATGTGACTAAACTCTCCAAACTGAGTACATTACATTACAGTGGCTTTTGTCCATGTATTAGACTCTCACCAGGATCCCTTTAATTTCCAGAAGTAATGTGGTCTGTTAGCACCGTTGTGTAGCAGTTTTCATCCTCTCCTGTTGCAAAGAAACATTTACTAAGGCAGCATGTGGTTCTTTACCAAATCACTTCACTTTAGACTGAACATTCATACAGCTGTGAAAGTGTTACTTGTTTTAGGGCAACATGTTACCAGAGTACAGAGGTGTAAGTACATTTACATTTACACTTTTACAACAAAAAACATACACACACACACACACACACACACGACGCTTCGGTCAGTGATTGTGTTTTTGAAACTTATTTCAGGGCTGCATCTCACTCTCAGAGGGAGGTGTAGCTGTGGTGTCTCTGGTTTAACAGCACCATGCTGGGCAGGTGACAGGTGTGTTCACCTAAGTGTTGGGTTTACATCACAGCTGATCGGAGCCGATAGAGTCATGTGACCTTGGTGTGAATGTCGATTGAACCCTTTTCCATTACTGGCAAAAGCCCGATGTTAGTGGGTCTTAGTGGGTTTTTTTGACCATTGGAAAAGGGGTTTACTCATGTTACAGTAACAAAGTTGTTTTTTGTGTACTTGTACTTTTTGGGATATTTCACTAACGTGATGCACTGTTACGCAGAGCCATCTGGGAGGCTTCATTGGAAACTGAAAAAGGTAGGCATTTAAAAAAAATACTTGGCAGGTGATTGTGTCTATCACCATCTATAACAGGCTAACTTCAACCAATCAGAATCTGCAGCAGAGTCAGGTCGTAAAACATCTCTTCCATGGAGAGAAGCTTCAGTGCTGCTCTCTGCTCCTCTACCAGTTCTACTCTCCAGATATAATGAAGCTGTAGCAGCAGCAGCTATGTTAACCTCTTTAGGAGTTGCCATTGTCAGTGACTCTCTCTTGCTCTTGCTCTCATCACACCTCATTCCTCTCTCATACGTATGGGATATTATCCAATTGAAAAAGGTATACTTGAAACCAGGGTTTGTATCCGTAACTGTAGCTATCTAAACAGTTGTATGTTGACTATAGGAGACTCAACATTCAGACCCTAAAGAACACCTGGAGGACACCTTCACTGGACTCTGTGGTTCCCAGTGGTTTTCTGTCCTGAATCTGAAATCTGGTTATTACCAGGTCGGAGTTGAGGAAGCAGATAAGCCCAAGACTGCTTGTATCTGTTGTCTTGGATTCTGGGAGTTTAACCACATGCTCCCATGGAGTGACAAATGCACCAAGCATGTTTCAAAGACTGATGGAAAAATGCTTGTGTTTTGGATGAAACTGAAGCTGTCCCTTGAAAAATGCATGTTTTTCAAGATGTTGATTTGGTACTGGGGGCATGTGGTTTCCCCAGTCCAGATGGACCCAGAGAAAATTTCTGCCCTTTGAACTTGAGCTAGTTCCTCAGAACCTGTGGGACTTGAGATCTTTTCATGGGTTCGTGTATTATTGGAGGTTTGATAAAGGAGCTATACGTAAGTTTTGCTATAGCTACATAGCTAACGTTAGCATTAACAGCTGTTTACCTACCAGTCTCGAAGAAACGTTACAGCAGTTCAGCATCAAAATTCATTCCCTTATTCATCGACAGCTATCTCCAGAGGTGGAAACAAACAGCAATGTTAACTTTTGTCTCCATCACTAGCCCCAGCCTAGCCTAGCTGGGGCCAGCATGCTAACTTCACAGAGCTGCTGGCCTCTGATGGCAAGCTATCAGAAAATGATGGCGGCTCACTGTAGCCTCCAGTCTGTCCTGCAGATGCAGCTGCTCAGAGGACGTGTTACTACCTCTTGTAGTGTAAAGACAATGACTGAAGCTCTTGTTCAGCCATAATCAACACCGCCCACTCCAAAAGAGAAACCACACTTAGTGGCAGAGAAAACTTACAAACAGCTCCTTTTAGGACTAGTCCTGTATTGTGAGACCGCTCCATGATCTCACTTCCAACCTTCCAACAAAAGACCCAAACAACATCAGGTTACCAGCAGCCATTTGAGCGGGCTATCGAGAAGCTCACAACTACTCCTGTGTGAGGGTTTGTGGATTCTCAGAAGCTCGAAGTGAGACAGAGACTCGAGTGGTCTGTGTTTGTCGGCTGCAGCTGTTGTGGGGTTAATGTTGTTTATGCATCTCCGCCTGCTTTGCTCCTGTCTTCTGTTGTTAATTGTATAATAGGTGGCAGCGTTTTAATTCATGTAGTTTAATCTAGCTACAAAAAGACACCAGTTGTAGTGTTGTAATTATCAGTTGTGTGCATAGGCTGCAAAGTGTGTGACTGGAATTCATTGGTTGCTTTCGATGTAATTGCACCTGGAGTGGTATATATACAGTATGTATCGAAATGCCATACACCTGACAGCCTATAGATGAAGTTTTATCATATATTAACTGACGTTTATCAGAGTAATTGTACTTGCATTTGAGTAGAATTTTTTTAAAGTAACAGTACTTTAACTTGAGTACAATGTTCCAGTACTCTTTCCACTCCGGACAAAATATCAATCTTCCCTCATACAAACATGAAAAAGATTTGGCAGTTGTTTGTTACAGTGTGAAGGCTGAGGAGTTATTGTCAGGTTCACGGTGTTCAGATGTTTAGTTTGCTTTCATTTGCTGTGGGAGTTCATATATTTTGCTAGTAGGAAAGCTGGGAAATCCCACATGACATCTGATCTGTTTTCATGTGGACCATGATGTCACTAACATACAGTACAGCATTATATCTCATTATAAATACTCTCCAATTCTGGTTGGCAGCCTCATTTGAAATGGATATCTGCATGTATCAGATAATCTTCCGAGGCTCCTTCTAAGCAGCAGTGTGGACACGTTGTGTGTGAGTGAAATCAGCTGCACAATAAATGTTTTGGGACTATTTTCAGCCTGCCAGTGTGTTTGTCTGGGCTGCCCTTAGGCCCACAGTGAAAGAATGGTGTTACACACATCACCAAGGTGGTCTGGAGAGATTAGCACCCTTTATTACACTGCAACTCTCAGCACTGCGCCCTGGGGGATGCTTGAATATGCAGGTTTAGATATAGATTTGTACTTACTGAGCACAAGGAAAGTGTTTTGTCATATAAATAACCACACAAAGGAACATTGGAGGCTGTTCTGTGCTGTTCGTCCTGCTGCTTCCTTCTCTCTGTTTTGCCCATCAGTCAAATTATGAGTCTTTTGATTTAGTCATTAAATTATGAGAGTGCCTGTAGAGGAAAAAGTATTGCACAGAAAATCACGTCATCGTTAGCATGCCATCTCCTACCAACCATGAAGCTGATCTTGGACACTTATTAGGGCTCTATTTCAACCATCCAAAGCTCATGGTCTGAAGCAAGTGCATTCAGGGTGTGTCCATGAAAAAACAGTCTCTGCTCCAGGCACCTGGTTCAAAAGGGTTGTACTTAACGTCTTAATTATTCATGGGAACATTTTGGGTGTAACATCAAACAAACCAATCACAGGCCGCAGCTCTGTGACTGTGAGGGGTAAAGAAGGTCTGAGTGAGTGAACCGAGTGGGGGGGGGGGCATCCATGACACATGACACGCATGGAACATGTTACTCTCTTGACAATTCTCCTGAAAATAACAGTGAAACACTGTGACATTAACTTCAGACCAGGTTTTTGTTGGTCAATCACTTTCCGTTGTCTGAAGATAACAATTCACCAACAATGTTCCTGACCTCACCTCACTTTAAGACCAACACACCCATGAGCGCACAGGCACAAGTGTATCTGCTATTTAAACAAAGTGGATGCTGGACGGGAAAATGACAACTGTGTCAGTCTGAAACTAGCAAAGACTGCTGCGTTGCTCTGGGTGTAAGATAGGGCCCGTAGACTCAGTTTTCTATTCATTACATTACCACATGTTCACAGTATGAAACATGCTGATATGAAGTGACCCCTCCATGTGTTTGTCCAGGCAGTCGGATGGATGAAGTCTCAGACGTGGAGTCGGAGCCTGACCTCCCCCTGAAGAGGAAGCAGCGCAGGAGTCGGACCACGTTCACAGCTGAGCAGCTGGAGGAGCTGGAGAAGGCTTTCGAAAGAACCCACTACCCTGACATCTACACCAGGGAGGAGCTAGCCCAGAGGACCAAACTGACTGAGGCCAGGGTCCAGGTAACATCCATCTATCCATCCATCCATCCATCCATCCATCCATCCATCCATCCATCCATCCATCCATCCATCCATCCATCCATCTTCTCTGTCTCTCTCTTCCTCTGTTTCTTCCTGTACCTCAAACACAACCATGATAGCAACAATTATCTGGTCCAGATCGGTAAAATGGACCAGGGCTGGTGTCCTTTGATGTAACGGGCCAACACTGATCCAGATCAGGATGTGGATTATTTTGTAGTCGTTCCCACGAGCCCAGGCCACATCAACTTTGATTCTGCTGCCTGACTGACCCGCTCCTTAGTGGAGTGTCTGGTGTTGTATTCTTTGTGCAGCCTGTAGCCAGGCTGTGTCTGGACCAGGGTGGTAAAACAGATGCGACTGTAACTTGAATCTGCTGGTTTGGAGGCTGATCTGTCTCAGAGTCAAGAAGCATCTGCTCATTTTCTACCTGTTGAAACTGAGAATTGGAATTTAGATAAGGTGTATTTAACTGAAATGTTCATTTATAATCGTGAAATATTGAACAGTATGTGGATCATTGTTGGTTTAGTTTTTATTTCTCATGTTATTCTGAACTGCAGTGATGATGAAGAGAGTAAAAGTCAATCACTTTCAGGAATCCTGTCGGATTAAACAATCTGTGTGCAGTTCAAATAAAGCTCTGATAGTTATTATGTAGTTATTTGTTGATAAACTCTCTGATAAAAGCTCTGTTTTAAAACCATCCACTGATCAAGACATATCTACTGATCTATAATATTTGTCACTTCATTATATACTCTTTTGTCCCTGTCAGGATCCTGTAGGAATGATGAGTCCATGTTTCCAGTGAACTGATTGGTCAGTAGTCAGGCTGTTGGCAGGTTAGTCCTGCAGCCTAGGTTACCATGGTGATCTGCCCGGGTTAAAAGTGAGCCAGTTTTGTGATACTGGAAAACCTGAGTTAAGCCCAAGAATATCTTGATAACCCACTAACCTCACTTTGTGGTACAAGGTGCTGATCAAAGATGAAGCGTCACATGGTCACCTCTTCATCTTAGTGTTCAGCTGCTCAGCAGTCACTGCTTTTGCTTTTTCCGTTTACTTCTGCTCTGACTTTTCTGCTCTGATGAGCAAACATACAACACAGTTCCTCTCAGACCTGTATGATTGGATTTCTTTGTTGTACAAGACGTCACATTATTGTGATACTTTACAGACCAAATTCGATATGTGCACACTGACTCCACCTAATATGCATACATACATACATAAATATGAAGACTCAGCTAAGGAAACTGTCCTTGGTCAATTTTGACAGTTCCACAGTGTCCCAGTGGTGCTGGCAAAAGTACTGTAGAGCTCTAACAACAGCTGTTAGGTGTTCAGCTGTGGGGTGGGGGCTGCATTCCTCATGCATGTCTCACTCCCCAACATCTTGGCTGGTATCTGTGTTTCCCACCACTTTCAAGCCCACTACTCATTGAAAAATTCACAGCAGATCACATAAGAGTCTGGGCTGTCTCATGGGAGCTTTAATCCACAACAGCAACATGGATCCATCAAGACCCAGGAAAACCAAGAGAGTGAGAACCCAGTGTGGCATGGAAACCAGCGCACACTCGATACTTGCAGACCTCAGAATTGCTACTTACCTATATTCACTGACACATATTTCAGGCAGATATTAAAAGGGGAACAGTTAATGTACATTTGGCAAATTTGGTCACATCTCTAGGTCCACTTTCTCACTTGCTCTAGCTTTTGACTGTATCAAATGGTCCTCACCCATGTTGGGCTGTCAGTGTCAACTGTCAATAGGGTTTCCAACTTCCTGAAATGGAAATAAGGAAGGTGGGGATATTTATAAAAACATTTTCCTCTTATCCCTTCGTGGGGTTGGTGTGTGTCTAATGTAGTTCTCTAGTTTGGGTCCTCTACCAGGGGCCTGGGAATTTGAGGGTTCTGCACAGTATCTTAGGTGTTCTTCTGGACAGAGACTTCACATGTTGTACCTGGGATCTGCCGGAGCCAGTCTCCCAGTTTGGGGATCACAGCCCCTAATGCTCCTTTACCACTGAGACCAGTTTGGAGTTCATCTTCCACATCTGTTCCAGTTGTTCTTTAAGCCCCTGGTACTTCTCCATCCTCTTGTGCTCCTTCTTCTTGATGTTACTGTCAGCTGGGATTGTCACATCTATTACAACTGCTCCTTGTCAACCATCACTTGATTGGTTAGCCAGCAGCTGTTTGTCAGTCTGGAACTTGAAGCCTGAAGCCCCCACAGCTGTGTGTGCTTGTTTAGAAAGTGGCAGGTGCATTAATCATTCACATTTTGACTTATAGTGGGTGATATCAAAAATCATCGTTATCAGCTTTTTGAATAGGTACACTGGCTTTCTTCACTGGACCCTACTGGGTTGAAAATGCAACAGAACATTATGGGGACACTTATAATTTGTAGGCAGCAAAGTAACAAAAACAAGCATACCCAAAGCCCCCTAGCCAGAACTTGAAAACATTGTTATCATGTTGGAAGAAGTGAAGAAGAAGTTGCCTACTGGTGTATGTGAATGTTGTAACGTACAGGAAACAGTATAACATGTAATTATGTATTGTCTGGAGTGCCCCAAGGATCAGAACTGGGATCCCTCCTGTTTGCCATACACACCAGCTCCTTGGGTCCAATTATCCACTCACATGGCTTGTCATATCACTGCTATGCTGACGATACCTAACTATACCTGCCATTCCCACCACAGGACCCCACTGTCTCTGAGCGGATCTTGGCCTGTCTCTCTGACATATCCACATGGATGAAGGAACGCCACCTTCAACTTAACCTCTCTAAGACTGAACTCCTTGTCATCCTGGCAAATCAGTCTCTTCATCATATCAATATCAATATCTCCTCTTCATCTCTTACCCCAACTAAGGTCTAGAGAAACCTGGGTGTCATGTTTGATGACCAGCTCTCCTTCACTGACCATGTTTCATCCTTCTCCCAGTTGTGTCTTTTTGCTCTATACAACATCAGACAAATCAGATCTTACCTGACTCAGTACTCCACTCAACTCTTGGTCCAGGCCATCTCTCACCTCGACTACTGCAATGCTTTTCTGGTGGGCCACCCTTCACTCACAGTGAAAACCTTGCAGATGTTCCAGAATGTGGCTGCCTGGCTGGTTTTGATAAGCCCAAAAGGGCACATGTCACTCCACTACTCATCGATCTCCACTGGCTACCCATGGCCCATGGTCAAATTCAAGTCACTAATGCTGCCTTCAGAGTGACTTCTGGGTCTGCACCATCTACTTCATTTCAGTCATTCAGCTTTGTGCTCCTTCTCAGCCACTGTATTCCTCCAATGAATGTCGACTGGCATCACCATCCCTGCACACAAGACATTCTCAGTCCAGACTGTTCTGGTCTGTGGTTCTCTGATGGTGGAACAAGGTACCAAAGTCTATCAGAGCAGGACGTCCCTCTCTATCTTCAAGAACCTGTTGAAGACTCCTCTCTTCAGAGAGCACCTCCTCTCCTAACACCTCTGACACACTAACATGTCGAACACTTACTATGAACGTTCAGTTCACTTCTTTACCCGATCTCCCTCACTTATAAAATAGATACTAGTACTTCGCAATTACACCGAGGTCTCCTACTTCACCTGTCAACAATAAACTGTCATTATTTAGAACGTTCAAGTTGGAGCAGCTATATTACCATGGCAACTGAGTAAACTCGATCTGTTGATGAAGACTGGTGTGAAACTCCTGTAGGTGGATCATGGGCTGTAACAAGCCCTGTTAACTGTGGTTTGGTCAACAAATAAACAGTCAAGTGTGATGTATTGAAAGACACGAGTCCTGGTTATCAATAAACATAATGAACAAACAATTGACAGATAAGACGAGGAGGATGGCACAGATTCTCTGAGGCGCCTACAAACTGTGTGATGACAAACATATCTTTATGCAAGATAGGTCCGCTACAGTCTTGGCCACAGCCTGAGTCAGACTGTACCATTTCAATTTGAGGCCTGTCAGATGGAGCAATGAATTCAGTGCTTTGATGTAAATAAAAAACAAAAAAACCTGATGCAAGCAGACGCATGTCATCAACTTGCATCATCCACCTGCTCCACTCTATAGAAAATGTCAGTAGTGGAACATTCTGTGTGCAGAATGTACTCTAAGTACTGTAGTCAAGTTCAGATTTGAGGTACTTGTACTTGAATTTTTTTTTTTAATTCCACTTTTGACTTCTGCTCCAGGTTTAAACTGTACCTTTTATTCCACTGCAGTTAATAGCATTTTTTTATTATCATTATTAATATTGTTATTCTTATTATTATTGTTTCTTATTATAGTGCTTTTCTCTGACAGGGTGGTTGGGTTCACTTTAACCTAGCGCTTCCTCAAAAAAGTGCTGCCTATGGGTTTTATTTCTATGACAACAGTTTCTTGACAACATATCACCACCACAATTGTATGATATTATTACAATTTGTAACTCGCCCACTATATAGCGAAGCAGCCATTTTGTTGTACTGTTTGAATTTTTCGACTAGGGATGTCACGGTACCAGAAATTTGGTAGTCAGTACCAATACCACTGAAATTCCACGATTCTCAATATCAAATTCGATGCCACAGCCAAAAACACAAAACACACCTCCACCTTGCAGCGTGCCTCGAGAAATTGCTGTAGAAGTCATCTTGCTAACACAACAGGTTAAGTGCTTACATTATCTGCAGTGTCATTTTGTTAGCCATTGAGAGTGCCTGGTCAATGGTAAATTCACACACACATAAGCACTTTTCTATCACACACACACTCACACACCAGTGATACATCGGGGGCAATTTGGGGTTCAGTATCTTTCCCAAGGACACTTCAAAATGTAGACCATATTTAAGAAACTTCAGAGTATATATTAGCAAAAAGTTGTTAAGTAAGTTGTTAAGTTGTAAGTAACTGGGCTATGCTTCTGAAGAGATTTTCAACTAGAAGCGCTCAGAGTGGTCGCACAAAAAAACAGACGCTGCAGCGTTTCCACCAGGTGGCTTTCTACACTCTGTCCTCACTGGGAACACTGGTGCTCAGAAAAAAATACTGTATGGACATAATACCACACCGCGGTTACTTCCTCTGGTACCTCTGGTGTGTGGAACTTTACTGGAGGATGAACCTTTCCTCCTTAAGATATTTCCTCATGTGGTGTGAGATGATGGTGGTGGAGAGCACTGTGTAACAAGTCGCTCCAAAATCTCCCATAGTTCAACTGGACTTGGACCAGGTCACTGTGAAGGTCACAGCATATGATTCACATCATCATCATTCTCATCAGACCATCAGTGACCCTTGTGACCTGTTAAAGACATCTGCATTCAGTAGGTTTCTATCCATTTGCATTACAGTATTTACATTTTCACTCACATAGTGTTGTTTCAGCGGTAAACTGTATGTCAGTAATCTTCACTTATGGCATTTACATTTGAAATGACTTTACTGATGGTAGTGGAGGTGAAGTATTTCAGATGGAGGTGTGTCAGGTGAGACAGTTGCTTCCTCTTTATAATGCAGCTGTTTTGTTTCCCTGTCAACTGACCTAAGGCAGTGTAGGAGCAAGAGGAGCAACTCAGGGATGTAGACAAAATGATTCTGTTGTCAAACAGAGGGAGGAGAGTGTACGAAACAGGAATGAGAGGCAGAGAGGTTTGTGTGTGTGTGTGTGTGTGTGTGTGTGTGTGTGTGTGTGTGTGTGTGTGTAGTCTATAGGGTGTTACAGTAAGATTTGACATCAATCTGAGAGAGAGTCACCTCTTCCTGGCTCTCAGTCTCTGTTATGTTGGACAACATCATGGATGTGAACGCACACACTGGTGATTTTCTGACAGTCATGTCTTCGCGCTGCAGAGGGAGTTGGACAGTCAGACTCTACTTCTCCTGCCTCTGCTACAGAAGGACCTCGGGGCAGCAGCACCTCTTCTAATTATTAGAGTCTCTTGTACAGAAATAGGACTCCAAATGATTTTCTCCACTTGAAAGGCATATTTTCATTTGCTCCAAATGAAAAAGGCAGATTCCTGGAGAAAGTGAGCGAGTGGAGAGCTTGAGGCAATACATAGATTCCTGCTACCACTCTGGATGTGTGTGTATGTGTGTGTGTGGTGTGTGTGTGTGTGGTGTGTGTGTGCATGTATTAACTTGTGGGTAGTATTGTATGGATTGATTCAAATGGTGCAAATGATAAAAATGCAGTTACCTGTGTGTCCTAATGTGGGACAGGGAATGTGAGCAGCACATGTAGAGCAGAGACAGATCCAGGCTCTGGGTGTTCTCAGCACAGCGACAGGCTGCGACTCGCTCTGAGCCTCTGACTTTTACTTGGCTTTAATTAAGAACTTGGAAATTAGTGCCCTGCTGAGCTGAAAATGAGCACAGTTTAGCTTTTGGCAATATACACTTTTGTCATTTCACAATCTGCCTGTATGGCTCACATTACTGGAGTAAGGAGAAGGTGTGTGTGTGTGTGTGTGTGTGTGTGTGTGTGTGTATGTGCTTTTCTTTTTAAAGCCTTGAAATGTCTCTACAGCTGTGGACAGGTGGTGATACATCTATCACCTGAACATGGTGTGAACCTGCAGATGTTAGTCTGTCGTACAGGTGGTCATCTGTAATATTAAATGGGAAGACGTGACCAGGGAAGTAACTCACCTCTGTAAAACCATATCTGGCTACTTGCATGGGCGATCAAAAAAGAGGGAGTGTACAGATGGACACACAGAGGTTTAACTTTTATCTGGTGTGGAGTGCTGGATATAACAGTCAGCAGACTGGAATCAGATTGTGATTATTTTGGCAGATATTGTGATTTCAGTGTGAATGGTTGTTTTTTTCATTTGCATTGAAAAAAATGTAAAAATAAAATGACGTGATTTTTGTTGGTCTTGTACCAAACAAACATGTTCCTTTATGTCTGGAGAATATGATGTGTAGCTCAGGGCGTCTCTGTAGCACTGCAACACTGATGGTGCTAACAATGTAAAACAATGTTGTGACACATTTTACTTTTATCAAAGACCATATTGATTGATTTTAATTAAATGTGCAGCTCTAGACTCATGGCACCTGCAATATGGTTCAGACAGAGTGAAATATACATTTTAAGAATAAGCCAAACTATTTTGTTCATCTGAAGTGGGACTCTTGGTCCCATTCACCACATTCACACCCACACTTTCACCCATGACATCACTACATACGGAAAACAATACTCAGCTTTGGTACTAAAAGCCGTGAATTGTTTTTTTTGTGTGTTTTGTAAAATTAGATCTGCTACATAATTATTGAATTTCCGAGAAAAAAAAAAAGATTCCAAACCCTCTACACCAAGAGTAAAGCTCTGAGGTGGTGTGGTTGCTGTGGTTGCTGTGATCAGTCATGTGTGAAGCGTTTAGCTGTGGGTTGTGGACGCCTCCTCTCCCTCCTCTTCAGCCTCTATTCATCCTATTGAGGCTGAATTCAGCCATCTGCAGTACAACGCATGATTAATCACACACACTCCATTTACAGATAATAAAACGCACACACTCCACTGGCGTACCATTTACTTCCTCTTCCGTGTCAAAGATCAATCAGCTCTGTCTTTGCTGACATGTCAGAGTTTTCTGAGTCGAGCTCTTCTGCTGCAGTAAGATGAAAAACACCACGATGATTAAAAAGCAAGTTGATGTCTTTCAGGGTCAGGGCACTGTGACATCACCGCTGGGTGTGGTTAGGACACAACAGAGCACACAACTGAGTACATTCAGCCATCAGTGATGCCAGTGCATGTGATGAACACTGTGCACGTGCACCAGGTCGTAGCTGTGTCCCACTTCAGGGGCCGCATCCTTCATTGCGTCACAGCGGAGCGACTAGACTCTCCCATTTCAAAGGCTCCTTCAAATGCGTCATTCTTTTCCTGGACCATACAGGCTCCAACAGGAGGATCCTTAGTGGCCCAACCTATCCCAAGATGCATTGCGCTCCAGTAATGGAAATAATATGTCAGCACTGTTAAATGTAAGTATTGGATTCAGCTCAGTTCAGCTAATGGCACAACTGTTAAAACCGAGGACCTTAAAACCTATTGTAAAAAAAAAAAAGTTACGTGTTGTCAAGGTTGCTAAGCAAAAGGAGCAGCACTTTGCGACGCAACGGTAAGAGCGGGAACAGCTGGTGACGCGAAGCTGAAATCCTCTGTAGGGCAGAACGTCTCAGTTTGGTTCCTCTGAAGGACACAACCTCTGAACGGGGACACAGAGCAGCTACTTACTAAACCTCTGTCCCAGAGAAGCAGCTTTTTCTCACAGTGACACTCACTCTGACTCTGAGGAAAAACTTGTAATAGTAAAGACTAATGACTCCCTTTTTTTTCAGGTGTGGTTCAGCAATCGAAGGGCCAGGTGGCGAAAACAAGCCGGAGCCAATCAGCTAGCAGCATTCAACCACCTTTTGCCAGGTGGATTTCCTCCCACAGGGATGCCAACACTTCCTACATACCAGCTGCCAGAGTCTGGCTACCCGACCAACAGCCTGTCCCAAGGTAGACCAGATCACACCTTCACACGGATGATAATCATGTTCTAAAGATAAACTCAGTGTTTGTTCACGTGTGTTTCCTGTCACCCATATATTAATTTAAACTCTATACTGTTGTACATGGGATTCTCCTGCATGACATTGGAGACTGGGGTTTGTCAGGTAGGCATTGTTCTGTCTGACACTGTCTTTATAAGCACCAGTGATTAGATGCAGGTCAAACATGGAGCTGCTAGAGATGTTTAGTTTAGGTCTTCTCCTCCCCCAAGGCTTCAAAAACAGGATCACATGCGTAGTTCTGTAGATTTGGTCCAGACCAAGGGAACAATCAGCGATGTCTTGATTAAGTCTTTCTGGCCCCCATCCTAGTCCAGACTAATATTGGGTATCTGCTGATGCTGAGTCTTATCCTATATGTAGGAGCAGAAGAGGCTGAAATGTAGATTTGTATGTGGGACATTATAATGACAGGTGTTTATTTTTTTACAGGCTTCTTTATCCAGATCCAAAGGTTCTGGTTCAAAACTAATACTGTGATCACCTTAAGTTATTGATCTCACAGGAATGAAACTGTATCGGGTTCTGACTCCCGAGACTGTGATGTACAGTGTGAAAATAGTCTGAAAAGCCCTTTAACACTTGAACAGTAATGTTACAAATCATCACAAACAAGGAGCTGAATATTTGAACACTGCTGCTCTATTACAGTTAGAATTAGACTATAGATTTTGCCAAGCTGGAGTCACAGTAGAGCCACAAAGTCATTTTCCCATTGACTCATTCAATTCAATTCAATTCAATTCAATTCAATTTTATAGTGCTAAATCATAAGAGACATTATCTGAATGCTGTTTACAAAGTCAGGTCCAGACAGTGCTATAGAGAGAAACCAACAGTTCACCATGAGCAGCAGCTGGTGACAATTCATATGTAGTGAAACACTGACTGTGATAAAGAGGTGAGAGCTGCAGCAGCAGGCTGGGGACGACTCGGGACATCTCCATCATCTCTTCCATCATTTGATACCAACCTGAACAACAATCACCAGAATGATTTAATGTATAGCTTTAGCTTTTCATCACAATCTGCAGCTGGACCACAGATAGTGGACCAGGGCCACCTTCTCAAACAGTCCCAGTCATTTTGGATGTGTGGATAGCAGCAGAGTTCAGCTGAGCCACACTAACCAGCTCCTCAGTGAGCAGGAGCCTGTCACCAAGTCCAGTCCAGTCAGCTCTCACCTGAAAACTCTGCTGTCACCGGCTGCTGTAACCAGAACACTTTAAGAAATACTTGTGTGTTATTGCACATGACAAGAGACCAGACTCCATGGACTTTTAAACAGTGTATCTTCAGGTGCTGAGCTACAGTATGTGGTGGTGTGTTTGCTCTGTAGATGGCGGTGGTACAGTTCACCGTCCCCAGCCCTTACCTCCATCCACCATGCACCAGAGCGGTCTATCTGGCACTGACAGCGGCTCCGCCTACGGTCTGGCCTCCAACCGCCACGGCTTCTCCAGCTACTCGGACACTTTCATGAGCTCTGCGGCACCGAACAATCACGTCAACCCTGTCGGCAATGGACTCGCCCCTCAGGTAAGAGCTGCTGGAATTCAGCAACAGGTGTCCATAAGGACGTGGATGCTTGGTAATATTAATAAAGTCAAGAATCAGGTAGATAACACTAAACAGCAGCCTCATGGATCACTGTTCTCCCAGTGAGGCCTGTTTGTCTGACATGTAGGTGGGTCAACCTGTTGGTAGCTGGACAGGATGATTTTGTGTGTTCAGTACGGACACTGGTTTACGACAGGTTAGCTCTCATGTGGGCTGGAGGTGGGAAGAGGCAGCTGGCCTCGACCAGGAGAGGAGGAGCATTAAACAACAAGTGAATACATCCATGTCCCCGCTGGTTCATCACTTTTTAGTGTCCCCGGGAAACACTTTGTTGTGTTGTGAGTATTTGCAGCTCATGTGTTGTCAAACTGATGAAGCTGTTTTCTGAAGTTGTTTGTGTTTTTTCTGTTTGCCTGTGTTTTCTTAAGTTGTGTTGAGCTCTCAGGGCCACCGTAGGTAAATGATTATTGACTTCCTCAATAAACAATATGAAAAAAGTAATTAATTACATTTTCCGATAGGGCTGAACAATTAATTGAAATATTATAGAAATCACAATATGACCAAGTGTAAATATCCAAATCACAGGAACTGCAATTTTTTGACAAAGGTAAAATTAGTTACAATAGACCATAAATGAAGCGTTGTGGTGCTACACAGACGGCCTGGCCTATGAATCATATTCTCCAGATGTAAAGAAACTAAACCCAACAAAAGTCACATCATCATCATTTTTATATTTTTTCAGTGAAAATGAAATTCCTGACTCATATCACAGTGTGATTTTTTGTTGTATATCGTTCAGTAACTGGTTCAGTGCTGCTTCTCAGAACAGTGGAGTCAGTGACAGCTTCAGTGTTGGACATGATGTCACTGAACTGATCGATGATGTCAGAGACCAGGTCTTGATGAGTCTTTGTTTCCCTGTGGCTCAGGAGGTAGAGCGTGTCATCCACTAATTGCAAGGTCAGTGGTTCAATTCAAGATACTGAACCCCAAGTTGTATGCTGAATGTGGCTTCACTGTTAAGGGCTTTGAGAGGTTGATAAGACTAGAAAAGAGCTGTGTACGTTCATTTACCAAATATCTACAACAGAGGTCATGAGTGCAAAGTTATCAAGACCCTCAGGTGATACTCAGGTGATACTCAGGTTATACCAGCCTCTGTAAACTGGACTTATCCTTTAAATGAAGCATCATGTACCTGTGCAGCAGGTGACGTTGTCTCATTATTAATTACATGAGCGGTGTGGGCTGGTGTCTCTTGTGTCTCCTGTTGTCATTATCTCTGGATCATCTCCGTCCAGAACAACAATGATATTAATAGGATGTGAATGTTATTTAGAAGATTTGACTTTTAGTCAGTCAGTGCTTCATTAACTGCACACTGCTAACGGCTGAATTAGAACAATGAAATTCGACAAGTAATTGTCTCCCCGTCCTGAGACTGTGCAGTTAACGAGATCTTCGGAGCCCGTGGCTCCTCGTGGATTCTGGCTTGAACTTTTAGCCAGAAAGATTTGAAGAACAAATCCTTTCCACTCTTCAGGGGAGAAAACAGAAAAGAAATAATCTCACTGACTAATGACTGTGATCATTAATTTCAGACAGTGCGTCTGTTTCTGTAATGAACAGATGTTGCTGTCAGTTCAGGCTGCTGTAATGAAACATAGCTGATATCTCAGGACCGCAGCCTGTAGTCCTCATGTTTCCAGTGGTGAACTGGATCCACTGAATCAAACTGGACCATAAAAACCTGGTGGTTACACAGAGCTCTTTGAACAAAATGACTGCAGTCGATTTTCTGGATTCCATTTGTATTGGTGATCAGTAAATTGATCTACTGATCAGTTTAGTGATGTGTAGCAGAATGTGTCAAACTGATTAACCGGTTTGAATATTACTGGTTTGAATAGTTTCTATTTCTCTAGATTCTTTGATGTCTGCATTAATTACGATTTTGAGAAATGAAATGGTTTTTGATCTCACCTGTCCCTCACCTGTCTCCATGGACATGAATATAGAGTTATCTCTGTGTACTACATGTGATCAAACATTACATCAGTAGAATAAGATTCATTAATGTGTTTTTTCTTTTAGAAAATTAATAACTGCTTTACAGCTGATTAATTTCAAGAATAAATCAAGTTCTTTTGATGGGCACCAGCAGAATGTCTTCACATCTCACTGGTGGAGTGAACTCCAGGCAGGAAAACTATGACCTATGAATCAGTGAATAAAATGTGAACTGAAGATGAAAGTTCACTCCTGACTCTGGAATCTGTAACATCACTCAAGGTCCACTTACTCTGAAAGACTAGACTTTCAAATATGGTAGAACAAGAGTTGCCTTTGAAAGCTCTGGAAAAAGCCAGTAAGTGGACCTTGAATTAAAGGGCCAGTGTTCATGAGATTCTATCAGAAGAAATGCAACACAATATTCATAATTATGTTTTCATTAGTTAGTGTGTTTAGAACGAGCCCTTCATATCTACACTGGGAGCAGGTCTTCTTCCACGAAGCTGCCATGTTGCACCACCATGTCTCCAGAGCGGACAAACCAAACACTGGCTCTAGAGAGGGGCTTTGTGTTTTTACATTACCTGAAGGCCACCATAGATTCTCCTACATGCTATGAAAGGGAGGGGGGAGGAAGGGGAGGGGTCTTCAGCACTAGATGTCACTAAATCCTCCGCACTGGTGCTTTAAGGCTTCTTTTGTCAAAAGATGTAAAGTATCTCATTTTACAGAGGAAGACGTGTTTGTGAGATATTAGAGAACAGTTTCACTGATAAGGCACAAACAAAGGCTGATATATTTGTTAACTTGATATCTGTAAATGTTAGAATGGACCAGTTTCCTGTCAGGAGCCCTGACCAGCAACAGAACTTGGGTGTGTGTGTGCATGCTGCTTCAGGTAAAGGTCGTTTGAGTAGGAATGATACTCGTGATCTTACGAATCACACTCTTCCTCCCCACTGAAGCAAACCTCGCTACGAGGCTACATCAGAACTTCATTCATCAGGTAAACAAGTCAAAACCACTTTAATGTTTGTGAGGTCACTAGTAGAAATCATCAGTCATCAGTGACCTAATTAGTGAAGCTGAACGAGGCGAGACTCATGTAGGTCTTTCCTGCCTCTTACAAGAGTGACGAGCTGTGTGTTTAAAAGCAGACGGAAAACATTTCTGTCAATGTCCATGTGTGTGTTTTGCATGTGTGTGTATCTGCTGTGTGTACACATTGTGTGCATTATGTTCAGCACACTGAATCTCCTCTGTAATGAAATGAAATGCACTACAGATTGCTTTGCTTTCCTTTGCAACATCGCCTGAGCCAGGTTCCAGTTTTTGCCAGACAATCCTCTTTGCCCGCCTCCTGTGTGGCAGCACAGTGGCATTACTCAACTGAATGAGGGGGCTGTGGTTCTCCTGCCCGGTGTTCCCAAGAGTTATGTGCCTATTGGACAATTCTCCACTTCACCATTTACATCCAGTGTGTGTGTCCTATATGTTGCAAGGTACACAGTGATGGTGTAAAGGTCACAAACCTGCAGTTAATTTTTGTCTATTAGTCACCATGACGACAGTCTGTCCCTGACAACAACAACCAAACCATAGTCGCTGTGTAAAGATACCAGACAGGATCAGTTTTTGTCATCCAGAAACAACATGATGATGTTGGTGTCTGAAGCTGGGGGGGGGGTCTGTGTGCTCAGGAGGGACCAGAACAGACCACATATCTTATATGCTCATATAAGAACACAAACACTGGCCACTGCAGCCCAGTAACACCAAAAATAAGATGGAGATTACAAAGAGAGAGCTGCAGTTACTCCTCTACAGATTTAATTCCTGTTTTCTCTGATGAGAGGAAAAAAGATCAGCTACAAGAGACAACAATACATATATACTGAAAAGCAGGAGGGTGAGGATTAGTGAGTGAATGAAACAAACTAACCCTAACCCCCCAGGGTGATCTGCTTGGAGACAGAGGATGATGAGGAGGAAGACCAAGCTCCTCCATGGGATATATCATCTGCAGACAGAGGAAAAGCCTGAAGGACAGTACAGAGGCTCTGATCATGACAGCACAAGAACAGGCCTGAAGCACCAGATCCATTGAGGCAGGGCTCCACCACAGCAGACAGGACCGGGGAGCAGACTGTGCAAAGATGTCCCTGAGACAGTCCAGCACAGGGAGCAAGGCTGGGACAGCAGAATCTACGTCTCAAAATGAAATGCTTCATTTTAGAAAAATGGAACAGAAAGTGTAGTTTCTTCACGTACAGCTTAAACTCATATCCCTCCCCCACTCCCCCACGTCCTGTATCCTTCAGACTATTATTGACTGTGTGTGTGTGTCGCTCACTGACTCAGGTCACTATGACTGGCTGAACAGCATGTGAGTGATGTGTTTTCCTGGGCTGCCCAATCAGAACCGTACCAGCTGGAAAAGCTGTGCTTTTTGCGCACAGAAACATAATTCTCAAATTTAGAGGTTATAAATCCAGACCTATTGGTCCGGATTGAGATAGGACTGCGTCCACGTCCGAAGCCAGTCTGCCTATTAGTGACCTTAGGTGTACAGGAACATCATGCAGAGTATAGATTAGAAAGACACACCACCGAGAGTGTTTGAGAACAACAGGGCTGAGATCCTGTGAGACTTCAGGTTCCAGACCGACAAACAGCTGCTGGTGAACCAAGCAGACAAGGAGCAGGAGAGGGCAGCGGTGACAGATGTGGCTAAAGGAACAGCTGGAACAGATGTGGACTGTGAAAGACACACACACACACACACACACACACACACACATTGGTGGCTGTTGGAGAAACAATGGACCAATCAGAGTGCTGTAGGTGGATGAAGAAGATAAAGCTCTAAAGTACCAGCAGAAAAAACAGTCAGAACAGAGCAGATCACGTGAGTCGACTGTGGAAAAAATCCCATCAAATGAAAAGGAGAACAGCTGCAG